ACTTAGCTTGCCTACAAACTCACTACACTCGAGAGACGTATACTCCGACGATGCCAATATTTTCCATTTTGTTCTCCCAGCGGAGACGTTTTCGAAAATATCTCTAATACCCCCATTATCACAAATTTTTAAACCCTCAGGAAACAATACATCTCTCGCACTCTGAAAGGCTCAAACGCACATTTTCAAAACACTCTACAAACCCCTTGGCGTCCTCAGCGTCTTCTATTATTTTGCAAGCCGAAAAGAAAACTCCCACAACCTAACTTAAGACTAATCTCTGACTCTCAAGATCTCCCACTCACCGCTGAACACCAGGATCTAATGGGCTCCAATAATTTACATTAAACCAACCCATCCCAATTACATATTATAGCCATTGTCATACTTATGTACAGTATTGTAATTTAGGTTTTCGTGGTTTCCCTAAATCATATTTTCCACCTTATTCGGATCGGTGGCTTGAGTGTCTAATGCGCTCGCATTCATTTGCGAGCAATTTTGTGGTTTTGGATCCTACATAAGACCATGTGAATTTATTTGCATGGTTCTCTATAGGATTTGTTGGATGCCATATTAGCAGAAATTTAATTTCTGTTGGTATGACATCGATATTTTAAAAATCACCGTTTATTCTATGGAATTGACCATATTTGAGATATTGAGATTGGAAATAACAAAATTGACGATATTATTTTCGTGAACACAACCAGCCACACAGGACCCATGCGCCAGCACTTAGGTTACCGTAGGTAACTATGTAGTTAGGGAGTACCACCTTGAAATGGAAGAGGGTGTTAAGAGAATAAAATGTACTAAAAAATTGTAAAATAAAACTAAAAAAACACGACATGCCAGATATGATTCATAGAAACTTATGAAAGGATAATAGAAAATCAATTTTTGATCTTTATTATCAATAATAAGCTTAGTTAAGATAATTGATGTAGAATTATAACGCTTATGAACGAATTTGGCTAAATGGTTTCTGCAAAAGCTCTATACATGTTAAATATTAGGAGTATTCTTGACCTTTACATGATGTAAATCCATAATGATTACTAGGAAAAACCAAGCTGTGGTCGATTTTCACAAAAATAATTTTATTTACTCAAATATTATTTTGTGAACATTCTGAGATAATTCCGTTTCGACTATACTCTACTCCAGAGGTTTCGTAAATGTTTAAGCACATCATATAAAGAATAATGTGTTCTTAAATCCCGTGAATATTCATTTTTGAAGACTAACAAAGCATTTTTAATTATTATACATTAAAGAATATCTATTCACGTCCTGGAGGTAATATGGACTTAATGGTATAACAAGTCACATAATAATAATAATACTGTAAGGGGTTTTCTCGCCTCAGAGAAAACGGTTCCTTACGAATGACGCTGGTTACGGACGGTTCTCGAGCGCCAGATTTTTGGTGATGGTTTACTCCACAAACTCCCGAAACAGCGTCGAAAGTACTCGGGCAGCACAGATGGAGATGAAAAATTCCAGGGGTCAAAGGTTACTTAGACTCAAATAATTAGTAGCCACAAATAATGGGTTTTAATCACTACTTGTGGTTGCAAAGAATTTTTCACTGCTGAAAAATAAGGGGGAAGTAAATTGGTGATCAGTAAACTCAGTAATAGTCACGGTTATTTTGACACATATATTGATTTTAACTATATACACTAAAAAAATAAAAATAAGATATTTCAACGCCCACCCTCGGTTATGAAACCCTGAACAAAAAAAAAATGAAGCAATGGCAAAACGGTAACGAACGGCTGATATAGTTGGCAGGTATTCTCAATCAGACTGCTTAAACTGGATACGGTAAAGGGGTCGCGTATACAAAAAAAAATTGTATTCGGAAATCTCAGACTAAGGTCAAAATTTAAATCTCGGATAATATGAATTCTAAATTTACGGCAATTACTCTCAAATCGAGAAAAAAAAATAATCTAATTGTAAATCATGGATAATACGGATTCAACAATTTAAATTTACGGTAATTGTTTAAATCGCAAAGCAAATCAAAATTTTAATCAAGGATATTAGTTTTAAAAATTCCAAAATTTACGGTAGTAAATCAAAATTTAAATCAAGGCTAGTATGAATAAAAAAAATTAAACTTCGGCACTTCTGTAACTCGTGAGGACCACTCGAAATCTTTCTAAATGTTTGTTTCGTTTTTAAAACCCCTGAATACAATGAGCAAGCTACGGTGAATCAAACCCACACTACCTCTTATTTTTATTTATTATTATAACCCCAAGTCGGACAAGGATATCTAGGAAGAAAAATAACACACGGAACTTTAAGCCCTCAGTGAGTTATTTGGGAATAGACAGAAAGGAAAATTAACACACGGAACTTTAAGCCCTCAGTGAGTTAATAGCGGAAAGCTAGAAACGAAAATAACACACGGAACTTTAAGCCATCAGTGAGTTATTTGGGAATAGACAGGAAGGAAAATTAACACACGGAACTTTAAGCCCTCAGTGAGTTAATTGCGGAAAGCTAGGAACGAAAATAACACACGGAACTTTAAGCCCTCAGTGAGTTATTTGGAAGTAGCCAGGACGGAAAAATAAAGGAACGGAAATTTTATATTCAAAACAGGAAATGATACCCTTTAACAAATCTATTCTTTTAAAAGTCTATCTAAATTTTAAAAAAATGAACACTCTAATTCCTATCTTTTCCCAATTTACTTATTTAATAATTCTCTTTACAAAGTCAATTTATAACGGAAGCAGTCCTCACCGTTCGAAGACGATAATAAAAAAAAATAAACACGGTCAATATCAAAACAAGAAACTATTCTTCGACTGTTAATTTAATTATTAAATTTCGGAATTTTTACAAAATTATTTACGTGTTAAAATGTGATCTCAAACGGTGTTTAAATATACTAATTTAATTCGGTTTTAATTCCTATCTAAACTCGATACTACGGCAAAAAATAAAAACGGGTTTTTTGTACTAACTGCGGTAAATATGGTTTTAGCTCGCGGTGCTGCTATTAAATTTGTCGACTGACTCTTTCGATCGCTCGGAATGGAATTAAAAATTCCTGCCGCGATGGTCTCGTGCTCGGGTCAAAAATATTTATCAATGTTCCACGCATGATCAACATAAGGCATTTCTTTATAAGCTTACTACAACATACTTGGTTACAGTATTGTGGTTACTGTGGTGACATTACGCATACCATGGTTTCCCTATTATTGAATGTCATATGTCAAATTTAATTTAAGTTTGGGGATTTCTAAACGAAATTTGTATTTTAGAAATTTTAGGATGTTTTGACTTTGTTATTTTTTATTATAGTATGTTCTAGTAAGCTTATAAATAAAGGCATTTCTTTATAAGCTTAACACGACATACTTCGTAACAGCGTTGTGGTTACTCTGATGACGTCAGACATACCGTGGTAACTCGTAGCACTTGTCGTTGTCACATGTCAAATTGGGGATTTGTTTACTTTGTTTTTGTTCAGATAAATAAAAGTGTTTTTGTCACAGACGTCATTTGGTTTTCGTTCTTTTGTTATTTATTTAAATATGTCTCCTCCAACAAAAGGAAGAAAAAAATTAATAAGTGTTATTTGTGATGAAATAACAATGATAAATACTTGTGCCAGTAGTCCCATATTTTCATCTTTATATTTCAATATAAATAACAGTATCCAATGGCCATCAACATCGCTCTCGTGAAGAGTTATTTCAGTGCCCTGTATTTCAAATATAATTTCTTTCATAGTAAATAGAGTTTTCTTTGGTAAATACAAAAATGCCCAACCCAAATATACAAAATGAACCATATAACCCGTAACCACAGAAAAATGTATCTAATTTAATATCTTTACAATACTTTGCGCATGCTCGATATGTTTAAATCCGGACCTTACTGACCTTACCACACACCTTACCCCTAAAAACATCATGGTTAGTAGTAGTTACATATTTTGGTAACGTATGACGTCATGGAAGTAACCAAACCGTTTAAAGAATTGCTTTGGTTACATAAGTATGTTCTAGTAAGTTATGGTAAGCTTATAAAGAAATGCCTTAAATGCCTCGTTAGATGTAGCTACATATGCTTTGGTAACATGTAACCAAAGCAGAGTAACCAAACGTTATAAAGAAATGCTCTGGTTACAGAAGTATGTTCTGGTAAGCTTATAAAGAAATGCCTTTAAGTGGGAAAAGGTACTCGAGAAGGGGACGGTGCTTGCTGCCGGCGTTCGTTATCGTGTAAAAATATTAAAAATAATAAATTCCCAAATCTACAATTTTCTATAATATAAATTCAAAACCCTGGTTTAAAATGATTTTTGAAAACCATTGCTATATTGTGAAAGTACTATGAATTTTCGGATTATTATATATTTCAAAATAATAGATACAGGGTGAAGCCAAAAAGTTGATTTATAAATTATAATAGTAACGAATAATTAATTTTATTAAATTGACATGCCGGATTCTAATGAAAGTTAGATTTAAAATTATTAATAAGAATACTAATTCGGCAATTGAATAAAAAAAAAAATAGTAATGAAAAATGACTTCATTACAATACTTACCCTAATTCACACTCTTACAAGTAAATTTCAACGCCTGAAGCGACTTGTGTAGGGGAAGGGACGTATATTATTATTTGCCGTGGCGTTTCGGGCAACTTAAACATACTTGAATTACAGATGAAGAAAACCCCACCCTCCATTATCGAAACTGTAACGCATGGCGATTTTTATAATCTGGATGTCATATCAACAAAATTAAAATTTCTGCTAATATGGCATCCAGCAAATCTTATAGAGAATCATGCAATAAATACACATGGTCTTCTGTAGGATTCGAAGCCGGGTGTTTCTCAACCACTAATATGGATTAATTTATTTATTAATAATTCCATTTACTTCCTCTTATAATATACATTTATTGTCATACATACATCGCTGATAGAACAATATTTATTTTTATTTTTATTTTTAGGTATGGTTTTAGTAGGTTAGCAAGTAACCTAGCGTCCAGATTTCGTCAAACGTCAGAAGAGAGTTCAGCGTCTTCCTCCGAGTCAAAAGAAGACTAATCGCTTAACTAATTTTTAAATTATTTTTCGTATTAAGGAGACATATTTTAAAAGACTTTTATATAAAAGAAATGCACATGAAGGTGCCATAATTAAGAAGTAATAACAGTTATAATTAATATCTGATTCTAAAATACTAAAATCGATCTCTATTTATTAATAATTAGACAGTACCTATGATGCTCAATAAATTATATTATTTATTTAAAAAAGTAGTAGAATAATAAATACGATTTTATATTTTTATTATATATTTTTTATTTCATTAATAATAGGTATTCCGCTTGTCGAGATGAAAAGACATATATAACAACAGATTATTTTTTTCGTATAACTTTTAACCATAGCCCTCAGAAGGTCTAGATACCGCATCGTAAAAACATTTTGACCCCCCATATGATGGGCGCCATGATAAATAAATGTCAATAAATTTTAAGTTGGCACTACTGACAAGACAGAATCGGCGCAAGTTTAGTAATAAGCGTAAGATCGGCGTTCGACGTATATAATCGATTTTATTATCTGTTGTGTTGTTTATTTTGTTCTTCTAGTAAAGGTTTTATTTAAAACATTATTTTTTAGTTTAGTCGTTTAGTGTTTTATTATAATAAAAAACATTTGTGGTTTGGTGTTAAATTTTTACAGGATTTTTAAAATCTCTTTTTGTTTTGTACGTGAATGTTACAATGCATCTAACGGTAGAAGATACAAGGAAGGAATAACATTTCATGTGTAAGTTTTCACAAATATTTGTGTATTTACAAAATCAAATAATTTGTATGTTTTGTTGTAGCATACCAAAAAATGTTAGGAAAGAATAACTGATAGCCATAGGAAGACCATTGAATCATTTTGTGACTTTAGTATAAGCCCAGAAAATTTGGGGATACTAGCTGAAACGGCAAATGTGTTATTGGCTCCTTGTTAGTGACCTATTGTACAATTTTTCCAACACAAGTTCCATGATCCTTTGAACTTGACTGCACCGTACTGATGAAGACCAATAGTCAGAAAAACGTGTCGACCGTTACTTCTTTTTTACTTTTTTTTATTCGGAAAATGTCCACTATTACTACCTTGATACAATAATATTAGTTCCGTTCTAAGTAGGTACATATTATAGTTTGTATATTTTATGCTTTATTTTATTATATGTAATAAATGATAGGAAATATACTTTTATAGTAAATAAATTGATTAAAGCAATATGTAAGAATAAGTTTATCTAAGGATTAAATTGTTATAGCAATTTTTCATATCCATTGTTTATTAATTTGTTTCATTTAATTCTTTCTTATTGAGTTAGTTATTTCATATAAATATGCGATACTTGTAAAATGTAATATTTTCTTTTAAATAGGTATATATTATGTTCGTATAAAATATTGTTCAGTTAATAAAAACAGAAATATTTTGTCTTTAATTCAAAAGAAGTTTGTAAATTTTTCAAAATATATATTTACCTACCCCAAAAAAAGATTAATAAAACCAGTTAGTCATATACACATTTTCTATATATTTATAGAGGTACTTTTTAAATAACTTTCAATACATTCGAAATCTGTGGTTTTATTAAACTCAATGTAACAAATAATAATAGGTATTCTCAAAAATATTTAAAAATAAAATCGAGATGGGACTCTTGTATAATTTAGTGACTATTCGCCTATGGTTAGTGCACTGCTGTATGTCCCTGGGTTTTCTACATTAGAACAATAGTGCTTCTCCACTCTAGCAGTATTTTTTGCATCTCAGATTATATTTATTAAAAAACCAAGGAATTGTTTTGGGCCTATTGCTGTGTCCTTTTCCAACATTCCCAAAGTTTTTTTTTTACTTTCTGCTGATTGGATCTCCGATAGCGACAACTCCATTTCTTGTTCCACTAGTTTTTTATCAAATTTTTAAAATAACTTCTATATATTTATCTTTTGCAATGACTTCGCTTACCTGCTTCATAATCTCTTCCCTATGCCCCAATTTCTCTAACAGGTGAGATCTTATACTCGCTCTATTAAATCAAATTATCATTATAGTTTATTTGAAAATGCTTGGTAGCACAGTTTTTATGGCAAAGGTCCATATTTTTATATAATTTTGCTATTATTCATTTTCAAATAAACTATAGGAATAGGAGTAATCTATTAGTTTTTCTAAAAATACCTTGTTACCGATGTAAGTATATCTTTCCCTAGTTAAAAAATTCGAGTTTTTATTTTCATAATATAATATAAATAAATGACCGGTTAACAATCACATTCTTTTAAATAGTACATTTGACATTGAAGTAGGTATTTTCTCCATATTGCCAAACAGGAACAGATGGTTTACTTGTAATTTGAATTATATTACATAAATCTCACTGAATTTCTCTATAATTCTCATAGCAATATGTACACAAACCACTTATCCAATAATATATAACCATGTAAAAATAACATTTCAAGAACGAGAAATTTTATAAAACCGGTCCTGTCTGAACAGATCTAGGAAAATCAAATAGGTTTGTCAAAGTTTTGTTCTTAATTTGAAATTAGAAATTGTGCGTCTCACTCACTTATAACTAATAACAAAGTGCAGATTATCGGTGTTCACGTAGTAGAGAACACACAAACTAAAAATCAGTGTAGCCAAAACATAAATTTACCTAACATGGCGACAAGCTTGAATGGGGTCATTTTTTTGTATTGACAGTATACGCCAAGCGGTATCTAGACTTTCTGAGGGCTATGCTTTTAACCAATTAGAACGTTCAATTTAGTTAAGTTACCTCGTATAATTTCGATAATACCCATAGCCCTCAGAAGGTCTAGATACCGCATCGTAAAAACATTTTGACCCCCCATATGATGGGCGCCATGATAAATAAATGTCAATAAATTTTAAGTTGGCACTACTGACAAGACAGAATCGGCGCAAGTTTAGTAATAAGCGTAAGATCGGCGTTCGACGGCGATTATATAATCGATTTTATTATCTGTTGTGTTGTTTATTTTGTTTTTCTAGTAAAGGTTTTATTTAAAACATTATTTTTTAGTTTAGTCGTTTAGTGTTTTATTTTAATAAAAAACATTTGTGGTTTGGTGTTAAATTTTTACAGGATTTTCAAAATCTCTTTTTGTTTTGTACGTGAATGTAACAATGCATCTAACGGTAGAAGATACAAGGAAGAAATAATATTTCATGTGTAAGTTTTCACAAATATTTGTGTATTTACAAAATCAAATAATTTGTATGTTTTGTTGTAGCATACAAAAAAATGTTAGGAAAGAATAACTGATAGCCATAGGAAGACTATTGAATCATTTTGTGACTTTAGTATAAGCCCAGAAAATTTGGGGATACTAGCTGAAACGGCAAATGTGTTATTGGCTCCTTGTTAGTGACCTATTGTACAATTTTTCCAACACAAGTTCCATGATCCTTTAAACTTGGCTGCACCGTACTGATGAAGACCAATAGTCAGAAAAACGTGTCGACCGTTACTTCTTTTTTACTTTTTTTTATTCGGAAAATGTCCACTATTACTACCTTGATACAATAATATTAGTTCCGTACTAAGTAGGTACATATTATAGTTTTTCTACACCCGTATTATAATAATGCACTTATATGCCCAAAATCCGTTTCATAATGATACCCATTATGATACAGATTTTTCATTATGATACAGATTTTTAATCAATAGAAACCTACAATTTTTCAATCAAGCATGATGTTTGACGTTTGTCCTAAATTCCTATGTAATTGTTTTAGTTGTCAAAACGTATTAAATTTTCGTAGATAGCTAAACTTCGATAATTATAATATTAAAATGTCTGATATCAGCGATATAGAAGACTCCTCCACACATATCGGAGAAAGGAGAAAATGCAGTACAAAATATTTTGCCCCAAAAATCTGTGGTAATACCAATACCCAAGGTAATACCATTAATTACAATTTTGTAGAATTTTTTATAGAAATACGAGTAATTACTGTTATTGTGTTCAATGCCAATATAAATAGAATATTTATAGGTCTTGATTATTTATCGGGTGTAGAAAAAATAGCGTATGCAACTCTCATGTAATGGTTATTAAAACACTCGCATAAACCATACGAAACTCGCCTTTGGCTCGTTTCGTATCCCGGTTAATGCTCGTGTATTAATAACCATCATTACATGATCGTTGCATAATATACTATTGTATGTTTTATGCTTTATTTTATTATATGTAATAAATGATAGGAAATATACTTTTATAGTAAATAAATTGATTAAAGCAATATGTAAGAATAAGTTTATCTAAGGATTAAATTGTTAAAGCAATTTTTCATATCTATTGTTTATTAATTTGTTTCATTTAATTCTTTCTTATTGAGTAAGTTATTTCATATAAATATGCGATACTTGTAAAATGTAATATTTTCTTTTAAATAGGTATTATTATGTTCGTATAAAATATTGTTCAGTTAATAAAAACAGAAACATTTTGTCTTTTATTCAAAAGAAGTTTGTAAATTTTTCAAAATATATTTACCTACCCCAAAAAAAGATTAATAAAACCAGTTAGTAATATACACATTTTCTATATATTTATAGAGGTACTTTTTAAATAACTTTCAATACATTCGAAATCTGTGGTTTTATTAAACTCAATGTAACAAATAATAATAGGTATTCTCAAAAATATTTAAAAATAAAATCGAGATGGGACTCTTGTATAATTTAGTGACTATTCGCCTATGGTTAGTGCACTACTGTATGTCCCTGGGTTTTCTACATTAGAACAATACTGCTTCTCCACTCTAGCAGTATTTTTTGCATCTCAGATTATATTTATTAAAAAATCAAGGAATTGTTTTGGGCCTATTGCTGGGCCCTTTTCCAACATTCCCAAAGTTTTTTTTTACTTTCTGCTGATTGGATCTCCGATAGCGACAACTCCATTTGTTGTTCCACTAGTTTTTTATCAAATTTTTAAAATAACTTCTATATATTTATCTTTTGCAATGACTTTGCTTACCTGCTTCATAATCTCTTCCCTATGCCCCAATTTCTCTAACAGGTGAGATCTTATACTCGCTCTATTAAATCAAATTATCATTATAGTTTATTTGAAAATGCTTGGTAGCACAGTTTTTATGGCAAAGGTCCATATTTTTATATAATTTTGCTATTATTCATTTTCAAATAAACTATAGGAATAGGAGTAATCTTTTAAAATACCTTGTTACCGATGTAAGTATATCTTTCCCTAGTT